TATAGGACGCGCACACAAAAGTCTCATTTTCGATTTTATTTAATGGCTCACAGTTTGACTCGGTTCGCCCAACTCGAGGATTACGAGGAGGGGACCCTCTTTCTCCCTTACTCTTCATTTGTTGTGCAGAGAATTGAGAAACATGATTAGTTTTCTGGTAATTCGGAGTATTTATATTTATTTAGAATCACAATAAAAGAGAAAAACAAATCTCGTGAATACGAGTTACAAATTACTTACAATAATGTTTTCAGTTCCATAAAAAAAAAAAAATCAAAATAAACTCAAATTTTTACCTTTTCATTCTTGAATAATCAACAAACCACAATTAAGTACTTTTAATTTGAATTCTTTCATTTCTTGGGCGCGAATTTGGACTTGATCTTAACAACATCCTTAACCTTGAGGTGAAACGCCGCGCTCAGAACATTATCCGGCACCGGCGGCACAGCCCCAAACAAGGTGGCGGCGAAGTACTGGGTCCCGGCGAGCTGGCTGTTGAAAGCGGCGACGACGGCGGCGATCGATTTCCCGTTGTTCTTCTGGAAGTGGACGAGCCCTTTGGGGAAAACGAAAACCTCACCCTTCTTGATTGTCTTGGAGTACAAGATATTTGCGGTGGTGATGAAGCCCACATCCAGCTCTCCTTCCAGCACGAACACGATTTCGGTGGCGCGTGGGTGGATGTGCGGCGGGTTCAGGCCGCCGGGGGCGTAGTCGATGCGGCCGAGGGAAATGCCGAGGGTGTTGAGTCCGGGGATTCTCTGTACGTTGGCGCCGGTGCCAAGTGATCCGACGGTGTTGTTTGTGGCGCCGGCGTTAGCTAGACCGGCGAAGAAGAAGTCATCCGCCGTCACGTTTGCCTTGCAGGCGTACCCATTTACCTTCACGGCTGTTTTTAAATTCCACACGCGCAAAATGATGACGTCAGCCGGATGAAAGCAATCCAACAATAAAAAGTACTAAGAGCATGAGAAACTGTATTTTTACACAAAACGAGTACAAACTAGAGCTCACGAAATCTAGATGATTATGTTGAATTTGACACCATAAGGGTGGAGATGTAAGAAACAATCATAACTGAGGGGGTACATGTAATTATCCAAACAAGAGGGGTTTTTTCGTAAATTGACCATACCTCAGGGGGTGGTTGTAATTTACCCTATTAAATATAACACGACCATTAAAATTCTATTAAATCAACAATTTAATACGGTTATTCCGAGAAAATATATTATTAAGCAAGCTTACTAAATTATCGAGTATTAATTTATCGAGGTTTTACTGTGACTACTAAATATTATGCATTGCATGTAAGTTGTAACGCATAAAATAAAATAAATTTAATTTAATTTAGGGAAGGGAAGGGAAATTGGAACTTTGAACACATCCGTTGTATGTAATTAGAAATTTAGGAAGTAAGTGGATTTAAGTACAAACAAAATTACACATTCAAGTATAATATCTTGACAATGTTTGGTTCTATTTTCATTTCATGTTTATTTCTTTTTTCGAAATTAATTTGTGTTTGTTTAGCTTTTCAAAAACAAAAAAAGCATTCTCAAAACAACTTCTAAAGTTTATATCTCATACATAAATGATTTGGTGCTAGTAAAAAAAAATTGGCTGATACGTTAAAAAAATGTTGTCTTCACTAGAAATCAATCAAAAATCACTTTATTTTTCAAAAATTTCTTCTGAAATGCATTTAGTCTGCCTGCAGTATATTTTGTATAATCTCAAATCATTGAAAAAAAAAATTTACTTCCAGTCTCAAATTATTCTCTAAAAAAATATTTTCCCAAAATAAAATAAAAATAACTCTCAAAACCAATCCAAACACTGCCATTATTTTATTAGACTAAAAAACGAATATAATAATAATGTTATTGACTAGAAAATTCACCATATCGTCAAGTTGCAGCAAGAAACTCGAAAAACAAAAAACCAAAAATAGAATAAGCATCGATTACATTTCAAGAATCCTAGTTGAAGATTTAGATGAAAATATGTGGCACAAAATTTGCAAACGAGATAAATTGAAAAAATTAAAGGGTTCCAAAAAGAATTATATATATATATATATATATATATATATATATATATATATATATATATATATATATATATAATGTAGGGATATAGATAAGTACGAGAAGTGAGATCAGCAACACATATATCTTGAAGAGAGTCTGGATCCGCAGAAACTATGCTGAACGTAGCCAAAATCACTGCCACCATACAAATTACACCACTGCCATTACCCATTTTAAATATTAATTCTTTCAAAATAAACAAGAGTGTGCTTTATGTGTGTGTTTGTATGTGTTTGTGTGTTGGATTATTTATAAGCCAAGAACTCGAGGACTTATTCACAAGTTTAATATTATTATTGACTTTTATTCTTTTCAAAGAATATGCTTATATATATAGAGAAGCATGAAGCGTGCCTTTCATAGAACAAATTGTGAAGGGTTGGCAATATAATGGAAATTGGGATATATTATAGTTTGGGTAAATTATAACCAACCCTGAGGTATAGTTAAATTACGAAAAATCCCCTCTTGTTTGGATAATTACAACCACCCCCTCAACTATAAATCTTCTTACACGTCCGCCCTTGCGGTTTCAAATTTAGTGGAATATTCGAGATTATATGGAATATTATCAATTTTCTACCCGTTTTATCCCATTTGAACTCTACATTTTGAAGCAAGATGATCATAATATGTGTTTTTTGGCTTGAATATATCAGATTGTGGTGCATCAGAAACTGTATTTTTACACAAAATGAGTACAAACTAGAGCACATTCCACAAAATCTAGATGATTATGTTGAATTTAACACCATAAGGGTGGAGGCGTAAGAAAAAATCATAGTTGAGGGGTAGATATAATTATCCAAACAATAGGGGTTTTTTTTTCGTAAATTGACCATACCTCAGGGGTGGTTGTAATTTACCCTTATAATTTATAGGGCTTAATATGTTGGTCCCTCAAACTAAACTTAAATTACAATTAAATGACAATTTCAAATTATGTTTTTTAAATACACCCATATTTAAAAATATAATATGATGATCATATGCCTAATTATTTTTTTTATTCTTAATTTGCTCTTATATTTTAAATTGAATATTTATATTCATGTTTTTCTCCATACATATTTCTCCTTTTTGTTCTCTCTCCCGCCGCCACTCCTCTCCATGGTCGAGTGAGACGGTGGCTATGGTGGTGGTGGTCGCGGTTGTAGGGTCATGGTTATGGCAGTAGTGGAGGCGGCGGCATGCCGGTGGTGGACATGGCGAGGGTGGCCATGGCGATTGCGAAGGCGGTGGGGTGGGGGTGGGGCGTTATGGCTTCTGCTATAGTGGTGGCGGTCGTGATTATGGTGGCTGAGGGTGTTTATGACAAGAGCGGAGGCGGAGGCGGTGGCTATGGCGTTGGCGGCGATGGTGGCGGATCTAGGTTTCATATTGGATGAGTGCGGATGACTCAAGTGACTATGAATTACTGTGAGTGTTTGTGGATGGATGGTGGCTAAGGTTCAAATAGGGGCTAGCGTTTTCAAATTTTCTGACTACGTATTACTATGGGTTCCTTCTATATATGACTACAATAAAAAAAAAAAATAATAATAATAATAATAATAATAATAATAATTTTCTATATTATATAGGAAAAACTAGGGTTTTATAATAATGAAAAAAGAAAACATCTACTTTCATAATTTTCAATATTGTATAGAAAAAAATGGGTTTTATAATGAAAAAAACACTAAAGACCAAAGTGGAGGAAAAAAAAAACGTGTTCTTCCACTACAAGAAATTTTATATTTGACAACGAAATATTTTGCTGTTGGAAGGGTAAAATTTCGTTGCCAATATAATTCGCAACGAATTTTGTTTGTTGCCATGTTCGTTGCCAAATCCGCGTTACTGAAAGTACATGGCAACGAAAATCAAAAATCGTTGTGCATACATTATTATAGCCAACGAATTTATTTCGTCACCCAAAATATATCGTTGTAAATACATTTATAATCCAAAACGAATTTGTTTCGTTGCCAACTATAATTCGTTGACAATACATTTATTATAGACAACAAATTTATTTCGTCGCCAATGTAAATCGAATTCGGATAAAAAATTTATAACAAAAACGTTCGATTTACAATGCTTAGGATATATTAATAATGTTTACTAATATTTATCTTCAACAACGATAGGAAGATGATGTTCTGGTGATGCTATGTATGCATTGACAAATTTTTGGTAGCATGGAGCAAAAGAATGTGATGTTATTTGACCGAGCTCAATTTCATAGCCAACGTTTTTTAGATCGAGCTCGTCGCACATGGTTAATTTAAAATAATTTTTATTTATTATTCAGTTTGCAATATATTACACAAGAGTAGAGTTATGAAAGAAAACAAAACGAAACATAAAAAGAGGAAAAGAAAAGTTGACAGCCTATCACATTGGCCAAAACCTAGTGTATAAATATATAAGTATAGTTAAATTTATTTGCATATAGATGAATTATATACTCACTATATCTCTCTATATCACCTATATTTGTTACTATTTTATTTTAGGTCATTAGACAGACGTGTTGGATGTTCGAATGTATAGTCTAAGTATGAATAAGTAATAGCCTATTTAATTAATTTATTAATTCAATTAATAAATAACTATATTTTGGTATTTCCTCGTCCTTCCTATATCCATTTACATTGTAGAACACAATAATACATAATGTAGTACAATGGAAGTACATGCCTAAATGAGTACAATATAGTTGACTATAGTTAGATCCACCCAAAAAAACTCTTCTTAAAAAGGTGGTTCAAAAATCTGTAAAATATTAAAATACCCCCTCAAATTTTAATATATTTCAGTTTCATTATTTAACCTCAACTTCACCGATTATTCAATTTTAACATCTCACCTAATTTTGATTATTGTGTTGCTAACCAACGTTGATTTTTTTATTTTCTTTTTTGAATTTTTGTTTCTGCTTCTAATTTTCGCCACTGCTGACCCGACGGTTAATGGTGGTTTCCGACGACGTGTTGGGATTTTTTTTAATCGACTCTTTTTTCAGAATATCTTTTTCCGCGGTGGAACAGTAATATTACAGCGTTGGACAATAATATTAACTATATTGATGTTTCACAGTAATATAGACAATAATATTGTTTTATGTGGGAAGAAATGCAGCTTTTAGTATGGGACAATCTTGGAGTCATAGTAAATACTAGGAATTACAACGGCAAAAAAATATTTGCTGCGGTTATTTACCGTAGCAAAGTTTTTGTCACGTCCGTATATACTGTGGACAAATTCTTAGCAAATGCATAGCAGAAGCCTCTTTACTAAGAATCCGATACCTTTTGCTGCGATTAATGGTCCTAGAAAATAATCATTTTTCGAATTTAAAAATAAAAAACGAGAGACTTTATACAATATTGTTTCTTGAGTATTCAAAATCTTATTAACCATATCTGAAATTGAGCCCATTATTATTGGAGTTTGGTCTGGGCCCATAACGCTCATCTTCAACATGTCAAGTTTCTATAAATTAATAACTTTAGTACAATTTAGACCATAGATAAATTATTATATAATTTAAGTTATTAGTTTATCAAGAATTTGAAAATATAAAAAAAATTACTATATTTTTTTAGAGTGTAATTATATCTATTGAATTCAATTATTTATGGTTGAAGTGTTGCTTTAGTTGAGTGTGATTTGAGTTGACTTAGTAATCAATCATTTGATGACCATGCATTAGAGGATGCCGCCAAGCTTTAGGCTTAATGCTGATTAATTAATGATTTTATATATATTGATTAACTAGACATAATCTATATACATACACACTAACAAGCGAGCAGTCGCGAGTTCAAAAATTTGTTACATGGTGGGCTTAAATTTTTGGAGATTTACGAACCGGGCCTACGAAAAATATTTAGGACTTTTTTTGGCATAAAATAGGACAAAATCAGAAAATATGTCAACTTTAATGTCTATATCAAACAAAAACATCACACCGAAATTATATTATACTAAAATTTTGCTTTACTTTATCTGAAAGACGAATAATAAGAATGTAGTTCAATCAATTTTATCGAACCATGAAGTCGGATTGTTAAATGTGAGAGCAATCTACTTTATCATTTTTAGTAATGAATAAATATTCAACCAATCAGGTGCATTGAGTAAACTACATGTATAATAGCTAATTACAAATCGCAAACAAGATATAAACCACATTAGTCACAAACCATATGTGACAAACTCAATTTAGTAAGTGTTCGACAAAAATAAAATTTTATTTGGGTCATTTCACGCTTTTTTATTCGATCAACTAAACAAAAATCGAAACTAAAAAATCGAAAAAAAAACCCGAAAACTCAAAACCAGAAGCCTTGTAAATTGTCTCTTTCTTTTGTTCTAACTTGGCATCCGTACAGAGTAGATGGTAACTAACTCAATATATAATGACTTTGACTTGGAGAAAAAAATGATGGATTACTATTCATTACTATGGCTGATCTCATCTCATCAACCTAATTTATTTATTTTTAGCTGCTAAGTCATATTTCTTAATAATCTAAACTAATCACCTTCACCAATGTTTCCAACTTGCAAAATATTATATTTTTGGGCAAATGACAGCACCCTGATGTAAAGTCGAATAACGGAAGAAAAAAAAAAAAAACTCCTCTTATTTGAATAACTACAGTCACCTCTTTAACTATGTATTGTGTTACGAAAAAACTCTTTATGTTGGTAAGAGGTGTTCATTCGGTACACCAAATTTTCATATTGTTAATCGTACGGTTCGGTAAATAACCAAATTATCGAAATTTTATTAAAAATATTTAACAATTTGTTTTTTTTTTAATTAATTTTAGGTTAAATACAAATATTTCATATAACAATTTATATATATATATATATATATATATATATATATATATATATATATATATATATATATAAATAAATAAAATGAATATCGAACCGAATTACCAGTTCGGTAATCAATGTACAAAATTTTCTCAGTTCGATCGGTTAACTGACCGGATGAACACCCATATGTAAATTCGACAACGCGATTACACAAACAAAATGAGTTTTTTTTTCGTAATTTGATATTACCTTAGGGCTTAAGTATAATTTGCCCTATATCTTTTTAAGGAGACTATAAAATAAAAATAAAAATAAAAATAAAAATAAAAATAAAACAAAAGAAAACCTCTTTAATTAACTATTATGTCTGGTTGATGTTGATGTTGATGTGAAATATTAAAAGCGTGTTAGTATTAAAAATAGAGAGAGTTGTTAGTGGTTTTGTCAGATTGTCATCTTCACTAAGATATTGCTACACCCGGTCCTTAGATATAGGTGGTCGATTTAAAAAATAATTAAATAAATAAATAAATAATTAGGAATCATATATATATTTTTTTCTGTTTTTGTAAGTATTGTTTAATTTAATTTAAATGACCTATTAGAGTAGCTCCAACCCAAAGTATGAAATATTTAATTTTGATATTTAATATTTATTCTCTCTCATACATATATAAACTTATTTACTTCAATCATAATTCATAGGTATTAAATAATTGTTATTTAAAAATAAATAAAGTGATTATATAATTTAATTACCACATTTCATTATCTAAGTGGCCGTTTACTTTTAACTTATTATTTTTTCACGATGTACTTTTACGTCCCAAGATGTGAAATATTAAAATACAATCCTCATATGATAACTCTCATTGGAGTGATTTATATTTTTTTTTGGTTGGAATATGAGTGAGTGTTTGATAACCGATTTAATAACTAATTGGAGTTGCTGTTAAAGTTCGACTTTTTTTATAATAAATTTTCACAGTTGGAGAATCAATTAAAATATATTTATGTCACATTCTTACTTCATTGGAATAAAAGTCTTCAAGATTTTGGAAGTTTGAAATACGTTTTTTAACCTTTTTCTAGAACTTGAAGAAATGGAAACTCGTGGATGATGAAAGCTTGAAAAGTTGCGTAGAAATAAAAAAAAAAAATTGAAAAGTGATATTCGTTGCGATATAAAATAGTTTTATATAAATTTATTTGCTGTAAAAATGATACAAGGGCCTTGTATTTTAGAGGGCATTTTGCTAAGCTTATAAAATGTTAAAGAGCTTGTAAGTTCTTCCAAAGTGTTTGATATTTTTTTTACAAAAATATCTTAATTTTTTTTATAAATAAACTGTTAGAGAGCAAATAAGATCGTTTTTAAAAGTATCTCTACCTCACATTTTTTTTTAAGATTTCATAATGAGTAAAAATAGCAGATAAGCTCATTATACAAACACTTTAAAAATGTATTCTAAAAATAAGATGTAACAAACAGCTTATCAGCTCTTAAAATATTTTATCAAACGTAATAGATTATCAGCTTTTTATAATAATCTTAGCCAAACAGATCATTTCTCAACCTAAAAACCACCCCTGATTGTAAGTTAGCTTGCTTTGGAAGACTTACACAAACTTGGACCATTTCAATTGAAATCAAACTCCTGTCAATATCTAACAATAAGTTCATGGAATATTTGGTGAAGTATAGACTATTATTTTTATTAATAATATTTTTTATTTTATTTTTTTATTTTGGTTTGTTGACAAATTAAAGGAGCAGCCAGACACATATGCGTAAACCTTGTTCTCGTGCAGTAACTCGCAAATTCGACTACTACTAATCAAGACATTGGTTGTTTAAATAGCACCTAATCCTATCAATACATCTCTTGCAGTTTAGCTTCCTTAAACAATCAATCAATCAATCATCATATCATAATCAAGATTTTCGATTTGCGCTATGAGCGTAAAGGTAATAATAGTCTTTTTCCTTGCACTAGCATAATATTTTCGTTAGTTTTCGCTTTTCCGTTAATCTTTCCCGATACTGAAAATCTTGCGGATATAATCTCCAGCAAATCGTACTCAAGGTCGCCATCAACTGCCAGCAATGCAAGATTGAAGTCCTGAAGGCAGTTACCAAACTTACGGGTAAAAAAAATAAATATTTAATATTTCAAAAAAAAAACGAGAAAACGAAAAATTTGCAATAGAATGTGAGATAAGGCGATATTTTTGAATGAACAGGTGTGGATATGGTACAACTGGATGCAGAGAAAGGAATACTAACCGTTTTGGGGACTGTTGACCCTGTCTGTGTGGCGACACGAATCAGAAAAGCGGGAAATCACGCGGAAATTACGAGCGTGGGCCCGCCAAAGCCACCGGAGCCTATTAAACCACCCGAGCCAGAAAAGCCGCTTCCTCCTTGCTGTAAGCAATGCCAGCTTGTTGCTGTGAGTTTTGTTACCTATGACAGCCCCCCAGCTTGTTCTATCCTATGAAAAAACAAAAAAAAAAAACGAGAATTTCTTGTATGTATCTATCTCACATTCGAGTTCTCTTTCTCTCTATTTTTTTTTTTTTGTTTGTATATGTATCTATCCTCCAAAACGACATCAGTTTCGGTAGATAAAATAGTTTCTTCATTCTTTCTCGTTTGAGGGCAAAGTGACTGCACGCCCATGTTTTAAACATGTTCCGAGATTTTAAAAGTTTGTATTTGGATGAATCGATTTCAAATCCTTAGTCTCGACTTGAAATTTGGGGTTGATGAGAATATTCACTTTTTATTGAAATAGTATGAAATACTTCATCCAAATTAGACATGATCACGGTTCGAGTCTGGCCAGCTAACCAGGTCAACGAGTCAACAACCCAAAACTGGACCGAGCTTGTATGTATACGAGCCCATTAAGGGGTTCGATTCTTTCAAAAAAAAATTACATTCGTTATTGATTCGACTGTTGAAGATCAACATCAAGATTAATGGACTATTCGTGAACGAATTCAAATTAATACAAGGAGAAAAAAAAAAAAAAAAAAAAAAAGGAATTTACCTTATTTTTTCTTTAAAGATCGTCGTTTGGAGTTACAATTCCACAGTAGAATAAGAAGCTAAAGATCAAGAATTAATCCTCAAGTGTGAGAAAAGTTTCGATTTCCAGACATGTAAATGACTTTTGTTGCTATCGAGCGAGTCGACAAAAGCACAAAAGAGTAGCTTTTGACTTTCAGCTTCGGCATAAGCTTCTAGAAAGTACAAGATGCACAGATGGTCGTATTCCTATGCTGCAAATCGTCGTCGAACTGGAATGAAACGATGCTCCTGTAGAGTACGTATTAAGCTCGATTCTTGGTTTCGGAACTGCAAGTATACATCGAGCTCCCCGTTTTGGCAACGCGCTCTCGAACAACTTGTTCTTGGCATTCTTCATTTTTTCTATTGCCTGAATATAAAACAAAATAATACGGACTTAGCCCACAATGTGATAACGTATGTATTTTCTGACGGTACGAAAAATGGTTACTTACCTTGGTTACTCGGTCTCGTTTAAAAGCGTTTTCGTTTACCAAAAAATGTATCAACCCCTAGAAGGAAACAATAAGTAAATGAGTCGTTCGCTATCGAAATTTGATACTACAAAATGACCCCAAACAATTTAAAGATTTTTTGTCACGATCGATAATTACTTCTTCGTCTGGAGCAGTCCACTTTAGGTCAAGATGATCACCATCGTCCAAAACGGATGGTTCTTTAAAGAGCCTCCGACAATCGCCGTACGGCCAATCATCTGGTATTTGGTATCTTCATGAAGAGGGGAAAAAAACAAAATTAAAAATATATAAATAAAATTAAATAGACGTTTTTACATGTACATGGACGAAAAATAATCGTGAAAAACCTTTCTTTATTAATACTCTCGAGAATGTGCTCGATCGAGCCATGTTGACGGATTAGTTTCAAAGCAGTGAGACCACCAATACCTGAGAAGTAGAGAATAAGTCTTACATTATTAAACTATCCTAAACGACAAACACTATCAGCAAATCGATATTAGTATTACCTTTTATGTTGTCGCAATAATCGCAACCCGAGAGAATGCAAAGATCGATAAATTGATCCATTGTGAGGTTCAGTTCTTCTAAAACCTTCGTGACTTCGAATTCCACCACCGGGATTTTTTTGGAGGTAGAGTCCATTAAATGGCGGAGAAACCGCGGCGTTCCAAAAGCTAGTGAATCCATGTCCTCTGAGGCCACAGCATACACCTGATGTTCGAATAAATTTCAGAAATAATTCAAAAGCGCATTCACTTGTACTTATGCTCCAAATGGTAACGTAATAATTAATTATAGGGTAAATTACGGCCACCCCCTGAGGTAAGGTCAAATTAAAGAAGAAAAAAAACCTCGTGTTGGGTAATTACAACCACCCCTCAACTATGAATCTTCTCACATGTCCACCCTTGCGATGTCAAATTTAGTGGAATCTTCTAGATTATGTAGAATATTCTCCAGTTTGTACCCGTTTTAACTCATTCGAGCTCCACATTTTGAAACAAGATGATCATAAGATGTGTCTCTTGACTTGTAAATATATCGATTGTGGTGCATCAGAAACTGCATATATGCACAAAACAAGTACAAACTGGA